ATGGTGCTTCGAATGCGTGGGAATACTTCCATAAAACGCAAAGACCACAATAATCAAAACTGTGATCACTGTGTGGTGGATCTGCGCAGTATCGACCTCCATTTTTTCACGTATGAATTGTCTTAATAAGGATGTTTTCCAGGTGGTTGTATGGTGGAATTGAGCGCACTGGCTGAAGATTTGCTGCAACTCTCTTTCAAACCCCACACCTAATGATGCTTCTGTCAGCCCAAACACGAGTTTGCTGAGAAACCTGTCAACGGTTCTACGTCTTATAACATCTAATTAGTCAAACTAGAGACGCCTGCGTCCGCCTCAATCATACCCCTCCTTAGACCGCTCTTTGAAAATTTAGAGTGCACGACCCCTAAATAGCTTGAGATAGCATATGGACCGCGTCATACGTTAAATGGTGGTAGAGGGAGTTTAACGGACGAGGACACACAGACGGAATGCAAGAAGACACAGAAAACAGATAAACTTCGCGGAAAGTGTCATCTTATGCTGTTATTTAGCAGAGAAATTGGGCGCGATAATTAAAAAAATAAACGAAAAGGACATTTTTGAATAATTACGTACTTTAATTAAAGAGTCTCTGGCAAGTTTACATTTATTCAGGGAGGGAAGGAAATTTTAAACAATGGAAAGGGTGAGCAAAAAGTGATGTTTACTGTCACACTGAATTTTAGGGCATATTTTGAGAGTTGCCATCCACATAGCTGTCCTACACCCTATCGTTACCCGCGACATTTTACCACCGCTGTCAAAATGAGTACAGAGGTGCAGTCGTGCTCAATAGCCTGACAAACAAACTGTTATCATCGTGCAGCTTGCGCCGCAGTGTTTGAATAACTGAATTCGAGATGGATGATATTTCCTAAGGAGGCGTCCAGTAACGCACCTGACAATCTTGGGAAAAGGTCGGGTAAATCACGTCTTTTCGGACTTGAAGACGCAGATAACGTTTAACATCATAAATGAAAAATCCAAAGTAAACCTCTACGGCCCGACCACAGAAGTTTTTATTCTTCCAACAATTGGTGAGACTTCAGAAGTCGATGCCGAGTCGGCGGATGGCCACCAGCCTATTTTCTAACTTAAGATGGAAATCCACTGTATACTTTTTGACGAGAATTGGCTTTGGCAAAACGGCTACTTACAGCCCACATTAAAAGGGCGTTCACGACTTGCAAAAATCTCACATATATTGCTGCATAGAACAATTATTTATAAATTCGTCTCGACATATCTCGGACAGCCACCAATTGCGCTCATTTTGTTCTAACCTCAAATAAGCAAAATTGCTGTACCTTAATTGGGTTATTTAAAGTTGTTTGCTAACCTTTCAAATGCTAGCATGTAATAAATGAATACGAACCGTGGGTAAGCTAAGTGCTTCGTGCATTGGGAACCACGCAGACAAGACGGTAGGATTAACCTAAAGGGGCAAGTGGCCTCTTTCTCATTTTACTTTTTACTTCCCTAGAGCTTCTAAGAAACCTCTGGCTTCCTTTCCATTTTCTCCATTTACTTCCTCTGCATGTAACTAATAGGGATTTCAAAGGTACACACCTACATTCCCTGAAATACACTGATACTGATACACTCATCCATGAGAAACGACTTTTTTAGTTTGAGTGGGGCTGTAGGAGCTTCTGAAAATCATGTGTTTGCTTAGATAGCCGATATCGGTCACTTCTCGGGTAGCGGTATTGATTACATAGAAGACAGCTGCCGAATGCCGACTCAGACTGGGTTCTTGCCGTTCACACACCCCAGATCCTCAAGACGGTGGTTTTCTCCCTCTGTCATTCTTCGTACAACTCGCGCTGAGGACAGCGCTCAATCCTGATGGGGGGCAGTGTCACGAACCTATCCAGTCAACGGTACCTTTTTGCTACTCAATACTTTTATTTCCTTTTTCAGGGCCACGTTCAACGCCCACAAACAACCAGAACAACCACCAGGGTCCCGCTAATGACCAATTTGTCTAAAGTCTCCCCTTGTTTATGCAGCCGGCTGCGTTCCCCCCTTTCGTAATCTCATTGTTAGGATTTTAACTACTCTTATCCGTTTTCTCCCCCCCCCCGCTTCCGTACCCCTTTATTATCTAACCCGTTATTATAATAGTATCCCATTCAGACTATATCCTTCTAATGTTTGATGTGTGGCGTCTGCATGCCGATCACTGAGGTACTAATGCTCAGTCCCCCGTAGGTCGTCACATATTTGGTGGCAGCGTTTCTTGATTTTTCTCCCACCTTTTTTTCGGACTTCATTATTCCCGTTCGGTACTACATTTCATCCGCATTTTTCTATACGTCCGTACCAACTAGACCGCATCCCCCACCATGCCGAATACTCGATCCACCTCCGATGCCCACTCCTCTAGCATCGACCAGCTAACCGTTGCCTTAGGCAACCTTCTCACACGCACATCTCCAGTGGCCCTGGATTCCCCTAGACCGCCAATATACGAGGTCGGCGACAGCTTCTCGGACTGGCGAGTTCAGGCCGAACGCCACCTGGTGCATTTACCGGCCGACCAACGAATGGACCATATTACGGGTCTATTAGGTCCAACCGCCAAAAGACGCCTCAATTATCTGTGCGTCTCACCCCCTACAACCATCAGCAACCTATGGGCATCGCTGGAAAGCCTTTTCGGTGCCCAGGAACCCCTCATCGCCCTCCACAACGAATTTTGCCTCCGCACACAACTGCCCGGTGAAAATGCGGACTCCTACCTAGACGCCCTCTTCAGTCTCGGTAGCAGGGTCTTCCCAGACTCCCAAGTCTCTGACCAGGTCTTCTTACGATTCGTGGGCGGTCTCCGTTCAGAAGACATCAAACGGGAGTTTCGCATCCGACCCCCTGCAAACCTTCTCACAGCCCTACAAACGACAAGGATATTCGAGTCCGCCCCACCACAACAAGAACCTCCCGTACTCCTAGCAGTCCCCAGGGGCAACTCAGACTATCCGATCGAAGACCGTCTTTCTCTCGTGCGACCAACAACACGAACGATTGCTGGTACTGCCAGCAGTTTAAGGATCGTGCTCGCAAGTGCGGTCACAACAACCCTGCCGGTAAGACCCCTCCCACTATCTTGCCCTCTATTTCCTCCTCGCTACCCACAGATCTCCCGCTGACAGTCACTGGCACACTTGATGGAACCCCCGCCACCATACTTATTGACACTGGCGCCACCCGGTCTGTGTTGCGGTCTCCCCATATTCCCATTACACACTCCCCTTCTTCAGACATTCAGTTAGTCACAGCTGATGGTTCACCCCTGCGTTGCACTGGCACACGGCAAGTATCCATTGTCCTCCCCATCTGCACTGCCGTACACCCCATGCTAGTCTCCCCGGACATTAGAGTTGACGCCATTGTCGGGTTAGACTTTCTCCGCGCCCACCAGCTTATCATCGACCCCAACAACCCGGCCGCAGTTCTGCTTTCCAGATCAGCCATCTCCAACATCTCCGTGGATGTCAGTACGCTAGACACTACCCCATCAAACGAACCGACGTCCATTGACGATCTGTTGATCCGTCAAGAAATCCCCGTCACCTACCTCCGTCGCCTAAAAGATACCCTTTTCCCATTCCAGAGCGTGTTCACCTGGGCTGGACAACCGATCGGGCGCACTGGACTGGTTCAGCATGCCATAAACACGGGTACCGCCGCACCACAACGACAACCCGCTCGCCGAATACCCATCCATTACCAAACGGAGCTTAACAGCATAATTTCAGACCTTCGTGCGCGACTCGTTTCCGATCCCGCGTATTGATGACACTATCGACGCATTAGTCGGTGCGTCTTGTTTCGCCAGCCTCGACCTCTCTCATAGTTACTGGCAGATAGAGGTCCAACCGGAGCACCGTCACAAGACGGCGTTCATCCTCCCCACCGGGCTCTACCAATTTAACACTCTGCCCATGGGTCTTGCGAATGCCACAGCCACGTGTCAAAGGTTGATGCAGTTCGTCCTGAGAAACCTATTACCACAGTCCTGTCTCGTCTATTTGGATGACATTATTATCCACGGCAAGTCCGTCAGCCACCTCCTCCAAAACTTGAGCCTAGTACTCCAAGAGTTACAGACAGCAGGACTTACGATTAACCCCAAGAAGTGCCATTTCCTACAACGACAAGTAACCTACCTTGGACACGTAGTAGACGAAACTGGCATCACCCCTGATCCGGAGAAAACTCGGCAGGTACTCGACTGGCCGACACCACAATCACAAACGGATGTACGGTCGTTCTTGGGATTGGCTTCCTATTACAGTCGTTTCATTTACGGTTTCGCGAATATCGCCCTTCCGCTACATCGCTTAACGGAAAAGGGTCGTTCTTTTGTGTGGACGGCAGAATGTACACAAGCCTTCTTAACCCTCAAATACGCTCTAACTTCCGCCCCCATCCTTGCGCTCCCAGATGGTGACGTGCAAAGCCCACCCGTCATCCTCGATACTGACGCCAGCGGATTTGCTATTGGCGCAGTGCTCAGCCAGATCGCTGCGGATGGACATGAGCACGTAATAGCGTACGCCAGTCAATGTTCGGACAAGGTGCAACGGCATTACAGTACCACACGGCGGGAAATGCTAGCCCTCGTCACCTTTGTCAAGAAATTCCGACACTTGCTGCTCGCTAAACACTTCATCGTCCGCACCGACCACCAAGCCCTCAAATGGCTCCGGAATTTTAAGGATGCAGAAGGACAAGTCGCCAGATGGCGGGAGCTACTTGAAGAATTTGACTTTGAAGTTCAATATCGCCCTGGGAAACGTCACAATAACGCCGACACTCTCTCCCGTCCACCACTCCCCCCGACGAGGACACCGAACGACGCCTTTCCTGTGGCAGCTATTCAAATATCACAGGCAGCCCAGGAGCAATGGGCTCAAATGCAAGCGTCCGATCCTAATGTATCCCTCATCTATGACCGCCAGTTACATTGATCCCCTAAACCCACCGCCCGCGAAATGGAGAGCCTCAGCTGGGAGGCCCATTGTCTCTGGTCTATGTGGCCCTTCCTCCGTCTAATCGACAACATCTTGTTCTTCCAGCATCACCCCTCTCTTCCCAACCGTCTAGTGGTCCCTCGCACTCTTAGGCCCCAGGTCATCCGTGCTACCCATGAAGAACTGGCACATTGCGGCCAAGCCAAGACACTCGCCGCGGTTCGTCAACGATATTGGTGGCCCGATCAGCGACGCGACGTAGTTTCTGTCTGTCAGACGTGTCAAACTTGCGCTCAAATCAAGGACCCTGTAGTCCGTCCCCGGGCGCCACTGGAACCAATGTCGGCAGGCTTCCCCAACCACCGCATCGGCTTAGACATCATCGGACCTTTATTTCAGACTAAGAAAGGCAATCGCTTCATTTTGGTTATCGTCGACTATTTCACGAAATGGTGCGAAGCCATCCCACTCCCAAACTCGGAAAGTTTAACTGTAACAGCGGCTCTAGTCGATCACTGGATCGGTCGCTATGGGTCCCCCTACATCATCCACACGGATCAAGGAACCGCCTTCGAAAACTACCTATTCCGTGCCCTATGTCACCTCCTCGGCATAGTCAAAACGCGCTCCTCACCTTTCCACCCAGCCGGGAACGGTCAGACGGGACGCACGAACAAGACTCTCGTGGCGTTCCTCCGCAGCATGGTTGATTTGTCCCGTGCAGATTCCTGGGATGATCTTCTTCCCCGATGCCTCTTGGCCTACCGCGCCACCATTCACTCCTCCACTTCATTTAGCCCCCACATGATGCTTTTCGGACGCGACCTGCGCCTCCTGTCTGACGTAACTATCCCACACGGCACCCCGGAAATGGCACAACCACACCGGTATCTCGAGCAGCTCATTGACTCCCTACAAACCATTCACTCCACAGCCAGAACGAAGCTTCAGGCTGCACACTCCCACCAGAAGGATTATTATGACCATCTGGCACACGGAACTCAATACGAACCCGGCGACCGTGTTTGGTTGCACAACGACCAACCCCACGCCGGGTATGCCAGTAAGTTTCATCGTCAGTGGTCTGGACCCTATATCGGCCTTCGACCGCTCTCAAATTCCGTCTGCCGCATTCGCCTAGAATCTGATCCCTTCGGCCGGATTATCCAGGTGCATTTCAATCGGCTTAAACCATGTATCAACCCTCCCAACACAACGTTCCATCGACCTCCCACCCGACCACATCCCTCACCACCCTTTACACTCCACCAGCACCCCGCAACGTCATTCTTCGTACAACTCGCGCTGAGGACAGCGCTCAATCCTGATGGGGGGCAGTGTCACGAACCTATCCAGTCAACGGTACCTTTTTGCTACTCAATACTTTTATTTCCTTTTTCAGGGCCACGTTCAACGCCCACAAACAACCAGAACAACCACCAGGGTCCCGCTAATGACCAATTTGTCTAAAGTCTCCCCTTGTTTATGCAGCCGGCTGCGTTCCCCCCTTTCGTAATCTCATTGTTAGGATTTAAACTTCTCTTATCCGTTTTCTCCCCCCCCGCTTCCGTACCCCTTTATTATCTAACCCGTTATTATAATAGTATCCCATTCAGACTATATCCTTCTAATGTTTGATGTGTGGCGTCTGCATGCCGATCACTGAGGTACTAATACTCAGTCCCCCGTAGGTCGTCACTATTGCGTTCGTAAATATGGAAAAAGAACCTTAGACATCATCTGTTTTATATCAGTCGCAGGTCGTTGGGGCGAACCGTTGTTTTATTTCCCTGAAGGTTTGCGCGGCGGCATGAGTCCGCGCAGTATATTGCGGGCTCATTTTGAGGATTCCCTGGTCCGCTTCTCTCTGTTATATACGAAGACCGACGATGAATGCTTTGGCCAACTAGATTGAGCTTAAAGCAAACAACAAAGATGATTGTGCGCCCCAGTGAATTCTTGCGACGGGAACATAAAACGGGCGAAAAATAATGACTACAGTTGCTGGTGCCTCATTTCCTTATTGTCTGTCATCTGTTTTTCCCCGTATGATATCGCTTGTTTATCAGGAGCGCCAGTCGGGTTTTCTTTCACGATCGTTGGTCTCCAAGCTTGGCGTCACATTACAATGATTAGGTTTGGGTCGTTTTAAAATAACGTCATGCGTTCATGCGATATGGATCTAATTTACATTTGGTCCATTTGGGAATTCGGAACGCTTGTACAATGTTTTTGGCCGCTTCTCATTTCTCTATGTCAGCGTAAATTGTTGTCAACAGCTTTTTCGATTCAGGCGACACGCGTTGAAGTATTTAGCACACGCCAGCATCGCAGAAAAAGGTAATATGTACGTATGTTTTGTCGGGGTGACGGTGCCCGTAAATCCTCGACGTGTTTTTCGGTATCTCGCGTTATGATGAAGTCATTGTGGAGAACACGCAATTTTTTTCCATGACGTGTACGTAGAGAAACGTGTTATTTTTGCAGCGGTCTTCTTGCCGAAATGTCAGCTCTACAGCCATTGTAGCGTTACTGATCATCCACTCAACTGTGAACCATGCCAGCAAGCTTTCGGGCGCAGTAACTTCCGCAACTGCAAATCCCATAAAGTTATGCACTTTGTGGTGAGTTAGGAGTTTCGTGCTGCCTGCCATTACGTTCGCGCACGAACTAACATCTTCGGGGTGCGATTTAATAATCGTAAATTTGCACGAAGTTAGACAGTACCTCTCAAAAGAGCCATTTGTCAATCACACGAAGACCACTCGCATGACATAGTTCTTTTAAAGTCAGCTTCCTCAACTTGTATTTTGACACCAGCCGTCCACCTGTCGGTTTTGCCTAACCAACCCTTAAGATGCGGATGGGCGGCACAGAGTCGTAAATTTAAGCGATGACCACTTGAACGCCTTTTCATCAATTTTAGTTGGAAATGCCGATTTTTTGTTTACTCTGCCGACTGGATAGGCACCTCCTTTCTATTTCGGTGGAATGTTTCTGAATGCGGTCCTTCCGAGCTTACAGAGTAAAGTTTTCGTCCATGCACTTTTCCCTCTGCTTGTACTGTAGACTTAGCTCATTTTGCATGGTAGATTCAAGTGGGCGACTAAACCCATGACACAAATTTGAATCAGGACAAAGCTGTGCCTAAGAGCTAAAAATTTGAAGGGTATTTGTGGCTGTTGAGAACGCATGGAATCATCGGCGCCATCTTTATTAGCTACGGCTTCGGTCTTCTAGTCTGTTGTAGATTTTGTCACTCATTGTTTCCGTTTCCCAGCTTATTTGGTAACCCATAATCATTATGAAAAAGGCGGTGCTGCTGTTTGAGGACTTTTTTAAACCACAGCATACATGGCATTCTCTGGTCCTTTTATATACGGTTCCTTAAGCAATGGTAAAGGGGTACACGCAATGACCACGTTACGAAACTCATTTGCCCTTTAACTTTATCTCCTCCTCTTTTTACACCACTTGCGTGGCCTTTGCTTCTTTATTCTCGTGATACCCTTTACTCCTCTGCAATCATTTATTTCAAACCCCTTTTCTTCACGACGTTAATGTCTTTGATCTTTCTGTTAGCGTAGTTCAGTGGTCAATGTTTAAAAAGATAAGGAAATTGTGGAAAATTTTGTTACCATCGGTATTTTGAGGACCACGTTTCTAGTACATGGTTTGGGGTTACGTTTGTTCTCTTACTGCTTGTTAGCCTACAACGAGTGGTCGTTCGCACTGCAGTTGATGAATAAGCTATAGTCCTTGTCACTTATAAGGAAGCTAGCACACTTTGCAACCACGAACGCTGCGATTTGTGGAAAGTTAACCTCAAGGCCGCAGTTGCAAATAAGTTTACTTAGTGATGGTTCATGGTCGCTATCTCAGTGTGGTCCACGAGTTTTGTGATGTTTTGAGACAGTCGACGTGGCAGACCTCAACTTAGCAGGCCACGAAGGCATTTCAAATGTAGATTTCAGAACGTCTCATATACCGTCTTTGA